GGTGGCGGTGATGGTGGAGGCGGCGAAGGTGGCGGCGGGCTCGGCGGCGGTGGGGACGGCGGCGGCGGGTCGGTGGCGGCGGGGACGGCGGCGGCGGGCTTGGCGGTGGCGGGCTCGGCGGCGGTGGTGACGGGAGTGGCGGTGACGGTGGTGGCCTTGGCGGCGGCGGCGAAGGGGGCGGTGGGGATGGGGGCGGGGGCGAAGGTGGCGGCGGCGGGGGTGAGGGTGGCGGGCGCCGGGTGCGTCGTGGTAGGCCGCAGCACCACTCGCGCTGATGCAGAGCCGCCGGCCGACGTAGCACAACTCGCGCTCGCACCAGCCGCCGGCCGAGGTGCAGGGCTGTGACTTAACGACTATCCGGCGGCGCCGCCGAGTACCTTTCTGTACGCCGTCAGCCTCGTTGTCGGGAGGCAAGTCGTCGCCCTCCGGAGCGCGCTCATCACCTACGGCCCCAACGACAGCGCTCTCGCGCCGCCCTCACACCTCGTCGAGCATCGAGAGGCCCATGCCGACGACCCGCCGCGCCGCCTCCGCGGCGGTGGGCGCCTCGTCAAAGGCGCCGCAGCACACCACGTAAGCGTCGCCGATGGTCTTGACCTTGTGCACGCCGTGCCACTCGGTGAGGCGGTCAAACTTTGCAAACAAGTCCGAGAGGAGGCCGATCACGAAGGCGGCGGATCGCTCACTCGAGAGCTTTGTGAAGCCGGAGAGGTCGGCCTGCAGCACGGTGACCTCTCCATACCGGTGCGCGAGGTCCGTGGCGCCAGCAGCGATGTGGCGCACGATCGGGGCGGGGAGCGTGTTTAGCAGCAGGCGGTGCACGCTGTCGCGTAGAGAAACCTTGACCCTCTCCTCCTCACCGAGCCGCTGCAGTCGCGCGAAGTTGTCGCGGCAGTGGGCCTCGGAGAGATAGGCGAGGCTGAAGCCCACGCAGTTGACGACCACGCCGTGGACGAGAGCTGGCCAGAGCGGCTGCCCGGGGGATGGGAAGCGGCGCTGGAGGGCGAGCCCGAAGCCGAGGAGCGAGGTGAAGAGGGCGAGGACGTGCCTCGCAAGCAGCGGCGGCACGAGGAACGCATACCCGAGCACGTGG